CTCTAACCGGCATCTTCTTGTTACACAATTCAGGGATCTGTTACAATAGTTCACTTTTAGTTCCCATTGTAAACAGCTGCTATTTAACTTTCCCCGTTTTAAGTCCCTGCTGTTCTCTTTGTTGCCCACATAAACACAGGTTCCAGCTCAGATAATGTTCCGTTTCTCCTTTGTCCCTCAGCCAACCCATCATTCTGTCCATTTCTTCACACTCATAAATCTTTTTAATTATGGCATCTTCCGATGGCATGGAAGTAGATTTCCAAAATTGCGCATATAGGTTATTCTTGCGGCCACAATTATATGTAGGCCCAAATGCCATATAGATTTACTCATGTTTTTTGGTTATATGTTATGTTTCTTGTCCAATTAAATACACTGGGATGTGTTAAGGCCTCCAATGGTGCCAACCAACACGGAACCCTAAGATAGTACTTTTTCCTCATCTTTTCCCACACTCCCATCAAAATCTTCCGAATATAATGTCCCATGAAGTACCTATGGGGGGTACTTCTTTCTTGCCAGAGGGAGGCATTTTTTAGTGTTTCTTGATTTGTTGGGCAATTTATTAAATTATATATTTGGAAAAAGCTCTCATTAAAAAGTGTTTTTCCTAGAAGATTCCTCCTCACTGACATCATAAGTCTTCACTTATTCAAGAATCTAAATCTATGAGACTATACTACAATGTAAAGGAAGATTTCATATCCAGAAATAATCAAGACTGTGTATTTTTTTAGTGCTCATCATGAACCAAATACTTCATTTAAATAGGATGACATTTCTGTAATGATTCTGGGAATTCTTTTTTCCTTTGTTCTCATAATGTACTTTTCTCATTCTTTTCCTTTTACTCTTTCATAGAATACTTGGGAGCACTAAGGTAATCTTGGAAGAAAGTTTTGAAGAATGATCTCCTCTGGTTGTCACCCACGTTTTTTAAAAAAATCAGAACTAGAGATAACTATTAATTTTCTCCCTTTTGTTACCATTCTTTTGTCAACAACACTTAGACATAACCTTTGAGAACTTTTTACAAATTATCTGAAGTTTCTTCCAACATTGTATTGACAGTGTTGTAAAAAAAAAGCCATTTGAAGTAATATTTCCTATCACCACCAGCAGCCAGAACTATAATCAGCATCTTTCAACTTTGAAGAAACACTACTATCATCCTGTGAGTCTCCTTCCTGATGATGTTCTGACATTGTAACTTTAGGCTTTTTGTGCATTGAGTAGTAGAATTGATGGTCTCTGTCTTATCAGATATCTGAGTCGAAACTACCAGTTTAAGTCTGGTGATTGCAGGAAATAAATGAATACAGGGAATTGGGAAATTAAAAGATTTTCCTCTCCCTCTGATCAATAGAGGAAAGGTCTCACTTATGAGAGGACTCATGAGCACCAATAAAATTGCCAATTGATTATGCCAATAGAACTTCAGGTTTTTCAGGTATGATATATTAATTGGTCATGAGAGATTTGCTACACAAAAATACCTGAATCTAGTCCAATGAAAATAGTCCAGGAAACCAAGCAACTTGGCATTTAATAATTTGAAATAACTGAACATTATTTAACAATACTACTTAGTAGAATGTATAACTTTCCCTGATAACAAAATGAGCAGATTCTAGGTAATTGATTCATGGTTACTTCATTTCATTTCATAGAAAAATGTCCTTTATGTATTCTTTTTCAGACAGAACTATCAGCTTTTGAATAAAGCCTTTGTAATATTATGATTTTATTTTTAATACCCTATGGCCATCCATCTTTGTGAATGAAGTGAAAGGTTAAGAATCTCATTTTCTAACTTGACATTAAGCAGGATATTAAAATTCTCAGCCATTTGTTATGCCATTCATCTTGTAAACAATAGAATATGCTCTAATTTGTTTTATGCCATAGAAATTATTTACTACATCACTTAAATAAATCTTATATTCAGCCTAAAACTGTGGTTTTAGTTGGAACCATCAGCCATAATTTTGTGTAATGCCTCCCTTTTAGTTATGAAACCAAAGCTGTAACTTTGATACAGACAGTAATCATTCATCTAATCTTAGAAAACTCTATTCATGTCTACTTAAAAGTAAGCCCCACTGAATTTTGGTGGAAATTATTTGTAGGTAATCGAGACAAAAATTACAGATTGCATTGTGTGTAGTGAAGTATAGGATTCTTTCTGATGTTTTATTTATAATTCAATTCCTCTTCAGAAACAAAAACATTCAAAAATAATATGCAATAAATAAAATCATTTTTATAACTTTTTCAGTTTGTCAATTGAATATTAAAATTGTATGTACAGCACTTTGGAATCAGAAACAAAAAAAGATTTCAGCGCATACAGAGGTGTAAACAGACCACATTCCTATAATTCCTTAAACCAATCATGTGTTTTCATTGCTAACATATGATCTCAAGAGTAAAAAGTATTTAGTTTTAGGCAATTTTTTTCAAACTTGGTAAATTTACGATACATGGACTTGTTAGATGGACATGTTAGA